CTAAGTGTGAGACACGGCTGTGTGTGAGACACGGGCTGTGTGTGAGACAAGGGCTGTGTGAGACACTGACTGTGTGTGAGACACGGGATGCGTTTGAGACACTGACTGTGTGTGAGACGCTGGCTGTGTGTGAGAAACGGGCTGTGTGAGACACGGGCTGTGTGTGAGACAAGGGCTGAGCGTCAGACACTGGCTGTGTGTGACATGGTTTGTGTGTGAGACACGGGCTGTGTGAGAAACACGGGCTGTGTGTGAGACACGGGCTGTGTGTGAGACAGGCTGTGTGTGAGACACGGGCTGTTTGTGAGACACTGGCTAAGTGTGAGACACGGGCTGTGTGTGAGACACTGGCTAAGTGTGATACACTGGCTGTGTGTGAGACACTGGCTGTACGTGAGACACGGGCTGTGTGTGAGACACGGGCTGTGTGAGACACTGGCTGTGTGTGAGACACTGGCTGTACGTGAGACACTGGATGTATGTGAGACACGGGCTGTGTGTGAGACACGGGCTGTGTGTGAGACAGGCTGTGTGTGAGACACGGGCTGTGTGTGAGACACTGGCTAAGTGTGAGACACGGGCTGTGTGTGAGACACTGGCTAAGTGTGATACACTGGCTGTGTGTGAGACACTGGCTGTACGTGAGACACGGGCTGTGTGTGAGACACGGGCTGTGTGAGACAAGAGCTGCGCGTGAGACACCGGCATTGTGAGACACGGGCTGTATAAGACACTGGCTGTGTGAGAGACTGGCTGTGTGTGAGACACGGGCTGTGTGTGTGACATTGGCTGTGTGAGATACGGGCTGTGTGTGAGACAATTGCTTTGTGTGAGACACTGGCTGTATGAGAGACACTGACTGTGTGTGAGACACTGGCTGTGTCTGAGACAATGGCTGTATGTGAGACACTGGCTGTGTGAGAGACACTGTCTGTGTGTGAGACACCAGCTGTGTCTGTGACACTGGCTGTGTCTGAGACACTGGCTGTGTCTGAGACACTGGCTGTGTCTTAGACACTGGCTGTGTCTGAGACACTGGCTGTGTGTGAGACACTGGCTGTGTCTGAGACACGGGCTGTGTTTGAGACACTGGCTGTGTCTGAGACACTGGCTGTGTGTGAGACACTGGCTGTTTGTGAGACACTGGCTGTGTGTGAGAGAGTCTTGCAAAACAACCCCCTACCTCCTTGTGGTGCCGGACGGGCAACGCTGTGGTGGGCAGTGAAGTGGGGGAGGGTCAATTCCGATTGGCCTTTCCCTTCATGGCGTTTGTAACCAACACTGCGGCTAAATGGGGGCTCTGGATGGGTGTGAAGGGCTTGTTACTCCTCCACCTTAAATTATTTACCACTAAACCACGTCGAAAATAGGTTTTAAAAAATCTTGTGCCGGAGACCCCGGGGGGACAGGCATCTATGAGATCTCCTGGCCAAACCAAATTTGGCGAAGCCATGAGACTGAATCTTTACCCTCAGGGCTCCTCCAGAAACAACAAAAAACCACTACGTGTAACCATGTGAAATGTTCGAACGCTCCCTGCGGAGGAGAGGCTGCCACTCCTCTGTTGGGAGCTAGATTGGTACCGCCTGGATCTCTGTGGTATTCAGGAGGTCCGGTGGACCTGCTCTGGCTCCTACCACCATGAGGGTGGACAGTCCTCTACTCGGGGCAGGAGACTGCCAAACAACAGGGTGTGGCTCCTCTTCTGAATAAAATAATGAAGGGGGCGTGGGAGCGTGGCGGTGATGTGTGGGAAGCTGTAAGACCCAGTCTACTTTGGGCTCGCCTTCCCATCAACCGAAGGCGAGGAGTGGTGGTCATGGTTTTCTTATGCCCCCACAGAAGACGAACATCCGTGGAGGGATGCAAGCAAGGCCGATTAGTCAGATGCCTTCTATGACCTCCTGTCACAGGTGCGAGCTAAAGTGGCCCCTCGGAATAGAGTCATCTTGTTGGGTCACTTCAATGCCCGAGTTGGCCAAAATGCTGGCATCTGGTCTGGAGTAATTAGAAGGCATGGGCCAGATGAGCTCAATAACAACGACAGGAGGCTGCAGGATTTTGTTCAGCCCATGGGCTTGTTATTACCAACACTCTGTTCCAGAAACCGGCGCATCCACACCACATCATGGATGCATGCCGGGTCCAAGCAAGAACATCTGCTGGACTACATAGTAATGGAACAGCGGATGCGGGTCCATGTACTTGACACCAGGACCTACCGTGGAGCTGATCTGCCCACTGACCATTGACTTGTCATCTGTAAGAAGCACCTGCCATTCTTCCACTCCGGTGGTGGGTGTACATCCAGGACCGCATTCAAACCCTTAGTGGCATTGTCTCAGCTAGCTGATGAAAGTTGCAAGCGAGAATTTCATCATCACTTGCAGCTGGGGTTGGCATCGTCCCCCAATCCTCCTGATGTCGAGGGAAAAATGGGCTCATGAAGCTGCAATGGCTGCTTTTGGTCCACGATCTAGACCTTCCCAGAGACCCTGACTGACAGAGGAGGTGTTCAACCTGGCTGAGTAACAAGCTACAGGCCCACTCTCATTGGCTACAGTATCCCAGGCGGAGAATGAGGGGGCTTATCGCAGCCTTACCTCGGAGATTCGGAGAGCTGTGAGGCGCTACAAGGATGGGTGGTGGTCGCGGGTTGCTGAGGAGATGGAGTCTGCCTCAGTGGCACGCGATGACAAAAATCACTCTTTAACTCCATTAAAAAAGTAACCTGCAGCGCCACACCTATTACCATCATTAGGGGAAAGAACGGTGATCCAATCTCCGACCCCCAGGAACAGGTTTGCAGATTTGCTGAGCATTTGTGAGGTCCTGGGGGAGGGGAAATCCCTTAGCTAGGAAAACAACGTGGGACAAGGTGGGGATGACCCTGCTGAGGCTGCGGCGCCTCAAATATTGGAGGAGGAAGTCGCCCCCTGTGAGTGGCTGGCTGAGGAGCCATCTGTTGAAGAAGGCGATACAGAGTCTGAAACCAGGAAAGGCACCGGGCAGAGATGATCTCCAAAGCGAAATGCTGAGGGAGCGTGGAGTTTGTGCACAGACTGCCCGACATGACATCATAACAACAGTTTGGACCGCTGGACAGGTTCCGCAGGATTGGAAGGATGCCCTTGTGGTCCCCCTCATTAAGAAGGGGGACCTCCCAGACTGTAACAACTACAGGGGCATCTTGCTCCTCAGTGTGCCAGGTGGGGTCCTGGCAAGGATTATTCAACAACGCCTTGCTAGGCACGCTTAGGAGAGGCTTGCGGAGCCCCAATACGGTTTCAGGTCGAGGCGGTCTGGCACAGATGCCATATTTTCTGTCCGTCTGCTAAAGCAGAGGTGTAGGGAATTCCAACAAGACCTACATCTCTGCTTTATTGACCTGGTTAAGGCCTATGATACCGTCAGTAGGCCTGGGCTCTGGGTTGTTCTTCGTGCTTTCGGAGTCCCTGACCCTCTGCTCATGATCATTAAGGACCTTCATGATGGTGAGCGGGCCCAGGTAAAGCTACGTGGCCGGGAGTACACCTTGGGGTGCGACAGGGATGTCCTCTGGCTCCCACATTATTTAACATCTATTTTGACCAAGTAGTTTGTGATTCCTTCAATAGCTGTACCTGAGGAATTTCCACTTGGTAAAGATACAATGGGAGGCTGATCGATGCCCAGGTATGGTCAGGGGATGGCTCCCTATTGCTCAACCACGTTATGTATGCCAATGATCTGGTAATTGCTGCTCACTCAGAGGAGGAGTTGGAGGCGCTGCTGCTGAACCTGGAGCTTCCCATATTTTCTGTCCGTCTGCTAAATAGGTGGCAAGCTCATGGTAAGGCCTTACCATCAGCCCGACCAAAACTAAGCACCTGCCAGGGTAGTTTGTACCATTGGACACTCCACCCCAACAACTCCCAATTGGTGATAGGGCAGTTGTGGAGATAGTGGAGAGTTTCCCATTCGTTGGCAGTGTTGTCATGGCCGGCTCCGGTTTAACAGCAGAGGTCTCACTCTGAATCAGTCGGGTGGCAATATCTTTTCATCGGTTGCGTAACGCTGTGTTGAAGCTGCCTGGTCTGTCGCTCCGCACGAAGCTTCAGGTCTTCTCGTCCACGGTCTCTCCCTCCCTTCTCTACGCTTGCGAAACGTGGACCCCCCTAATGGAGCATCTTCGCCGGTTAGAAACATATCGGCTGGCCTGCCTACGATCCATCCTGGGTTTAACCAGGCTGGATTGTGTGAGGAGCTCACAAATCCTTGAAAGATGTGGACAAAGTCCCATTGGTGAGCTCCTGGGCTTGCAAGGCTGCGCTGGCTGGGTCATGTAGCCCGCATGCCAAGCCACCACATTCCTTAACAGCTTTTGTTCGGCCGGATTGAGGTGGCTAAACGGGCGGGGCACGGGCTAGAGAAGAGATGGAGTGATGTGGTACAAGAGGACGTGGAGCTGAATGGACTTGCCGATGACTGGTTCCAGCGATGTCAATATCGGCCACTGTGGAGGAGGCTCGTGAAGGACGCTACTGAGCAGTTGGAGTCAGTCGCCCTCCAACAACAACGGAGGGCGGAGGAGCGACGCTCACAACAACGAGCGGAGCGCTGGGTGGCTAAAGCACAGCAAGTTGGCACAGTAGGGGGCACAGGTTGTGCATCAGCCAGTCATCTCGGTCTGTCGACTCGTGGCACATGGGTTTGCCCTGCGACCTCCTGCCCGCGGGCCATCGACACTTCACTTGGCCTCAACGTGCACAAAGCCTGGCACAAGCGCCGTGGTGACGTCACCACCACTTACTGGCGAATGGCGGTTGTCGTTGTTATTGTGAGACACGGGCTGCCTGTGAGACACTGGCTGTGAGACACGGGCTGTGTGTGAGACACTGGCTGTGTATGAGACACTGGCTGTTTGTGAGGCGCGGGCTGTGTGTGCTATGGATGCTGAGTGTTCGTTCCAATGCTGTGGTTATTCGAGGCGTGTGTGATGCTGTTGGTGGTTGTCCCAGGAGAGAGATCCCAAAGGAATCTGCACCCCCACCTCCCACTTCACTGGACGCTACCACGATCCGCTCCCTTGAAAGGGTCGTGAACAGATTCCTGCCTTTCGCTTGTGAGTTCCTCAGTCTTGCACGCGCGTGTCCTGCTGTGTTGCACTGCACTTCTGTGCTCCCCACCTTCATGATCTTTTCATTTTATTTTACCAGGTAAGGAACCCAATGAACCATGTCGCTCCTTTTCGGACCTGACTATCACAAATGACAGCTTTAAGAAGTGGCTCATCACGTGGATATTTATAGCAGCAGCCAAATCCAATGAATGCAAATTAGTTCTAAATGTGGAAGGAAAAACGCGAGGAGCCAGGGAAAAATCCACGCCACCACGGGGAGAGAGATGCAAACCCTGAAAGAGAGCGACATGGATCAGTGGGCTCTACCTGGTGAAATGAAATTAGTTTAACAGTTTCAATATTCCACTAAGCCCTACTTCTGTGTTTGCGAGCACCAGCACCTATGAAAGCCGGAACGGCACACGAGCAGGTGGGTAGCCAGCACCACGCCCGGCTGCCTGTCTCCCTCGTGTAAAATGTTTACACATCACACCAGCAGAGGGCAGCACAGCGTAAACCATTGTTTGTACAGCCCCCCTAATCTTCTAAGTTCACGATCCCCACCATCGCCAAGGTCCATTGACGAGAGAGGTGAAATATGGTCAAATAACCCCTCCCAGGATGCAGACGGCGTAGGGAGGCGCTCATCCAGCAGTGGAGTGACACACAATGTCTGTGCGTGGATGTGAGTGTGTGAGGCTGTGGTGGCTATGGTACAGGTGTCATGTTTGTCGAGAGACGCTGCTACCACTACACACACCCATGATCATATTAGTGTAGTACTATTATTATTATTACTTATTTATTCACTTATTATTATTCACTAATGTGTACACAAATACTGTGTGTGTTGACTCTTCTCCGCGCACGGCCCGCTCACACTCCCCGCTCCTGCGCACCGCTGGTTGGCGGCACGCACGGAGGCTACCCTCGGACTGCCACGTGGCCGCTGGCGTTCCGAAGGCGCGAGACGTGGTCCCGCTTCCAGATTTCCCACACTGACATCGAGCCTCTTCCTGCTTCCCCTTATATTCCTCTCACGCAGAGCCAAGCCCCGCCTCTAGCCACGCCCTTTCCAGAACCCTTCAGCTCTGCCCTTAAACTTTGGCTCAAATGAACCCACTTAATTTGATTGGCTTATGGCTGATGCAGCGGATCCTATCCAGCTGATCAGCGACCGTCGGTGTACTCTCTTATTACATCACCCCCCCCCCCCCCCCCCTGGTGTTACAGCCTAGCCATCCCGGCTAGGAACGAGGTAACTCAGGTAATTACAGAGAGACACCGTGAATCATTAACAGAAAAATAAGAAGTGGATGCATAACGACACAACACGCGCAATAGCAAGTAAGAAAGAAACATCAACGAAATAGAATTGATTTAGAACGGGTACGAGACGCCGGACCATTTCCGGCATTAGCACGAGGTCCCGCTGGCTGCGACACAGTGGGAGGCTCAAGTGCGGAGGGCTCGGCGACTGCTGTAATGGGTGAAGGGCCGGCCGGAGCAGGCTCATCAGCAACAGAAGGAGTCCTCAGGGCCCTCGCGTCTGTGGGAGGCAAAACAGGCTCCTTCGGGGGATCAACCAGCATATGGGGTGGCACGTCGGATGCATCAGACGGATCGACACGCGGGGGAAAGAAGGGTTTCAACCGGGACGTATGGACGTACCAACGGCGCAGACCGGCCCGGATACCCACACATTGAGGATGTCGAATTTCTATCAACTCCACAGGCCCCCGCCACGGCCTGTGCAATTTAGGGGAGGTGCCCACCGGCACCTTTGGGGCAATGAAGCCAGTCTCAGTCGCCCACAGACCACGGCATGTCACGATGCGTCCACGAGCACACCGCTCGTTACGAGCTTTGGTCTTGGCCGCGCTGACCCGTACTGCCTCCCATGCTTTTGCCACACGGCGTACAGAGTCGCGGATATGTTCAGGACGGGTCTGTTTGGGCCCTTTCATGGGCATTCCCAGTAGCACGCCAATCAGTGGTACATTCTCCCGTCCATACATGAGGAAAAACGGCGAGTACCCGGTGGATGCATGTGGGGCCATACAGTAGGCAGAGAGCACGCTAGGAACGTGTAGGTCCCAATCGGCCTCACTCACAGTGTGGCAGAGCATGGCGGAAAAGGTATGGTTCAATCGCTCGACCATCCCGTCCATTTGCGGATGGTAAGGCGAAGTCCATATCTTCTTAGTGCCCAACGCATCACACACATCATGTAGCAATTTCGACGAAAAATTCCAACCGTGATCCGTAAGCAATTCTTCCGGTGCGCCTTTGTCCATCACATAACCGTTCAAAAATGCTCCCGTAATGGAAGACGCCGATTGATGGGGCAAGGCTCAAGCCATTGGCAATCTTGAAAAATATTCCACCCCCACCAACACGAATTTATTGCCTCGGGCCGTGAGAGGAAAAGGCCTGAGGATATCAAGGGCCACTAGCTCGTTATTCCGTGTAACCTGAATAGATTTCAAGGGTGGAACATATTTCTGGCGAGGTGGTTTCCATTGAGCGCATTCGAGGTAGGCACGGATAGCATTAGCGACATTGGCTGTCTTGCCAGGCCAAAAATAATATTTCTGTAGCGTTAATAAGGATTTTCTGCATACCCAAGTGTAACAATTTCTCAGCATGCAACACCCAAATCAATTCGCGTCAGAGCGCGACGGGAACCACCACACGCCAACGTTCCAACAAATTGTCTCTCCACATCAGCAGACCATCTTGGAAAGCCGCCTGCGGCGAGCCGTCCCCCGCCGAGGACATATGCGACCCGCAACGAAACTAACGAGTCACCCAGTAATTGCTCGCGCACCTATACCGAGCGCAGTGCAACACACCATCAGCCGGCCCCGGTCTGGCATGCTCCGCGGAATCAGCCACCGTGGAAATGACAGGCAAAAGGGGCTGAGGGGGACGTGTGCAACGATGAGTGCCTGATGCACACGCGCAGGGGAGTCCTTGAGCCAATCTGGAGAGTGCATCCACATTACTATGCCGAGAACCCTTATGGGAATTGACCTCAATGGATAATTCCTGTAACGTCTCAAGCCATCGAGACAGCTGGCCAGATTGCTGTTAGAATACTGGAGGGCAGCATGATCAGTGCTCACAACAAATTTTCTGCCGTACAGGTAAGGTAGATATTGGGGTACGAAGTGAACGATCACCAATAGTACCTTCCTCATCACACAGTAGTGGCTCTCAGCCGGAGAAAGGACATGGCTACCATATGCAACAACCCTCTCCACGCCATTCTTGGACTGAGACAAGATGACGCCAATGCCTGTATCGCTGGCATCAGTGTCCAGGATAATCGGCAAGGAAAAATCAAGGTAATCAAGCGTCGGCGTGGTCGCCAAGCAATCACGAAGGGCCCTGAATGCCTCATCCTCCTCCGTTCTTAATTGAAATCTCTTATTCTTTTCCATAAGGATGGACAGAGGCTTGGCGATGGTAGAAAAATGTGGAACGAACCGACGGGAGTAGGAAGCGAACCTGACAAAACTACGGACGTCCCCCATGGAAGTTGGGGTCAGCCAGTCACGAACACAAGAAGTTTTGTCCGGGTTCGTGGCGATACCGTCGGAGCTAACAATGTTCCCTAAGTACCACACGGATCGTTGCAAAAGATGACATTTGTTAGGCTTAAATTTGAGATTAGCGGAACGCATCCTGTTGAAAACAGCCTTCAATCGCCGAAGGTGATCCTCAAACGTACGACTGAACACAATAATGTCATCCAAGTATATGAGACAAGTGACCCATTGCAACCCAGATAAAACCAGCTCCATCAAGCGTTGGAATGTGGCGGGAGCAGAATTCATACCCTTGGTAAGACAGTTAAATTGAAAAAGTCCTTGAGGCGTACGGAATGCAGTTTTTGGCTTTGAAGACTCGTCCAGTGGCAGCTGCCAGAAACCGAAGGACAGATCGAGACTGGAAAAGTATTGCACCCCAGACAAAGCATCGAGGGAATCATCCATCCGTGGCAGAGGGTATCCATCCGCAACGGAAACCTTATTAAGCTTATAAAAATCAACACAAAACCTGAGGTTACCATCCTTTTTCTTAACAAGAACCACAGGTGTTCCACAGGGGCTATTAGATGGAGAGATTATGTCAGCGGCCAGCATCTCATCCACCGCACACCGCACACGGCCCCTCTCCGTGGGGCTCAACCGGTGGGAATTAAGTCATATAGGACTCGCCTCCCCGGTATCAATGTGGTGGAACAAGAGCAATGTGCGACCCAAATCAAAGTCATCTTTGCTAAACACGTCAGCATAGTCGGATAGCAGCGCCCGTAGTGCGCCGCGTTGACGACCGGCCAACGCCGAATTCTCCTGGCACAAATCCGCAATCCAACGATCGTCCGACAACGATTTGGAATGAGTCGCCCCGACCAATTTTCCAGGTCATCGTAGTCTGTAAAGGCAGTCGTGGCATGAGCCAAGACCATACTGGCCGGGACCAAAACACCTTCTGGACCCCCATTTAGAACCTGCAAAAACGGGGCCTGACCGGCACAGATAATCGTTTGGGCCCCTACAAGAGCAACACTCTTGGTAGCGGTGTTCGACGGGGACAACAGTATGCCCGCCGCCGCATTTGCTTCACCGAATCGTTTACGGCATCGTAATGGAACGAGCATTTGGGAGCCCAGAGGAATTTCCACAGTAACATCTGCAAGTGCCTGCACTGTCGCGCATGGCGGAGGATGACCGAGCGGGGACGGCAAAAAAAACATCTTACGGCCTGCTGGCAACTCTAGACATCCCTGATCAACAAGGATCTTAACAGGCATCTTAGGAAGAAAGTCGGTGCCTAATAAACAGGGCACCGCCAAGGACCTGGAAATCAAAACCGTCCCCAATGCAGCAACATTCCCTAATGGCAATATGGGCATCCACCTAGCCGACGATGCCCATACTACCCCTGTTGGCAGCAATACACGCATCAAAGGTCGGCCGTACCCATGAGGCAGGAATAGAATGGAATTGGCAAATCACGTCGGACATAATAGTGGCAGACACCTCAGTGTCCACCAACATGCGAACATCTACCCCCTGTATAGAACCTGGCACTGTGGAAGATCCCGTCGCCACGGCCACAACGTGTCGTGTCAATTTCCTCCATTGTATTATCGACAGCGGCGAACCCCCAACGAGATCGTTTGAATCGCGAAGCGATGGATTACTATGCGCGTCGAAAGATGCGTGAGATGACAATTGATGCCGGGTGTCTGGTGCGTGCCAACTTGCCTGGCCGGGGTTGTGGTCCGTCAATGGAGGAGGCGGCACCAGAGCTGGAGCCCCGGGAGGCGGTGGAGGACCAGGGCGACTCCAGCAGTCCTGTGCAAAATGGTCCAAGTGGCCACACTTGACACATGTCACCGCGGCCCGTCGAGCGGCTCCATCATCAGCCATGCGCGACTTGTAGGACCCCTCATGACGCCGGTCTGGCCTCCGCCGCAGCTCTTAGTGAGGAGCGACGGCCGCCAGGTCTCCGATCGTCCCGTCGTCCGGAATGTGGATGACTTTAGATGGCGCCCATCCCTTGGGTTCACCATCTCCCGTCCAGGCGGCCATCAGCACCCAACGCTGCAAGTTGTCCTTGGCGTCGAGGCACCTAGCGGCCCATCAGGATGTCAGCGGCTCATGACCGCACACCGGCAATGTAATGCCCATCTCTTTTGCCAGTTTAAGCATCTTGCTCAAGATGAGAGGGTCGAGCACATCGGGTCTGGTGTCGGGGTAAGCGGCCATCGCGAGCGTCAAAAGAGCCACCCGGTAGGCAAGGGGAGATTCATTACTCCCTCGTCAACAATTCATAAACTTCCGCTGAGTGTCTGAAGAAGGCTCATAAACTTCTGCCATCTCGGAAAATGTGCCTTACAACGTCTTCTTCTTGTCAGCGGGAATAGAGCGGAACACCGCTAACGACACGTCGTCGAGAAGGGTAGGCAGGGCACCCAAAGCCTCTTCTGTCCACCGTACTGAACGAAACGCGGACTCGAACTTCCATGTAAAAGCACTCCAGTCGCCGGCCGTGACGAATTCCTTGATATGGGGAAGACGATGACTGCGCCCCGCACTGCTGTCACTGGAGGACTCCATCATGCCCAGCAGCGAGCCGCGTGGCTCCGGCGAAATTGTCGGCTCAGACTGCGCCTTCGCAGCTGCGCCCAAGATGGTGGCCTCCCGCCACGTGGCGCCCTTCCCGGTGGTAATGGAGGACGGCTCCTCTGCGGGCGTAATGGCGGCCGTAAATTGCACGACGGGACCCTCCAGGGCCCCCGGAAGGAACCCTGCACGTCTCCACTCGGCAGCACTTCCTGTGGCCTTCCCGGCGACCCAGACAACGCGACCAGCATCACAGAGAGAGTCGATCTGCTCAGTAACACCCCGCCAGCCATTGTCCGCCCCTGGAGAGGAAGACAGCTCTGGTCCGACATCCTTCCTCGGTGCCATGGTCGCGCCAGCCGTGGTTACAGTAATCGGGTCCACGGCACCCGGGGTAGGTAGGTTTTGAGTGAGCGAGTCGTCATCGTCGTCGGAAGACGGTGCAGGCGGGTTCTTTTTCTTGAGATACTTGGACATCTTTGCGGTACATCGCGTTGTCCGGCTCCAAGAATCACTTCTGACTCCAGTTGCAATTAACATCTTCGACGACGAATTATGACTTGCGTCTTTCTTTCTTTATTTCTGTGTCGGCTGTACAGCTCCATGCTCCTTCTCGAAAAATAACTGTCCCGTTCTTCTCTGCGAGGCGTGTGTTGACTCTTCTCCGTGCACGGCTCGTCTCTGCGCGGCATGTGTTGACTCTTCTCTGTGCACGGCCCGCTCACACTCCCTGCTCCTGCACACCGCTGGTTGGCAGCGTGCACAGAGGCTACCCTCGGACCGTCACGTGGCCACAGGCATTCCGAAGGTGCGAGACGTGGTCCCGCTTCGAGATTTCCTACACTGACCTCGAGCCTTTTCCTGCTTCCCCTTATATCCCTCTCACGTGGAGCCAAGCCCAGCCTCTAGCCACGCCCCTTCCAGAACCTTCCCGATGTTTCCCCCCAAGCACCCTTGAGCTCCGCCCTTGAACTTTGGCCCAGATGAACCCACTTAATTTGATTTGCTTATGGCTGATGCAGCGGAGCCTATCCAGCCGATCGGCGACCATCGGTGTACTCTCTTTTTACACTAGTATGTGTACACAAATACTAATGAATATTAGTATATGTGTACACTAATACTAACGAATACTAGTATGTGTACACAAATACGAATGAATTTTAGCATGTGTACACACGAATACTAACGAAGAATAGTATGTGTACACAGATACTAGCGAATACTAGTACAGGTAGTCCCCGAATTACGATGGAGATGCGTTACGACGACCCCATCGTAAGTCGAAAATGGCCTAGCCTACCCAGGAGTCTTAAAGAACGGTGATAATTTAGCAAAACATAGCAATTTACAGTACTGTACTGTACACATTATATACTGTATGTATTTATGAATTACAATACCGTATTGCACAGTTTTTTCAGAAAACAATCCTATCTGCTATAAAAACGTTTAACATGCATTGAACGTATCGTATCGTGGTAACCCTAAAATGAAATCGTTAAAGCTACGTATCATACATGCATTGAACGTATCATAACGTATCATATTGTACTGTAGTCACCAATATTCTGTCCGTCTGCATACTTGAACGATGTTAGGTTGTTGATGGCCACATTAACTGAGTTGTCGTAAAAGGAGGATGGCGATGATAAAGCAGCATGTTCATCAATTCGCTCCTTTTCGGCTGTAATTTGGATGAAAGAGTCCTCACGAGACGTACAATGAGGGAAAAAAGTATTTGATCCCCTGCTGATTTTGCACGTTTGCCCACTGACAAAAACTGATCAGTCTATCATTTTAATGGTAGGTTAATTTGAACAGCGAGAGACCGAATAACAACAAACAAATCCAGAAAAACGCATGTTAAAAATGTTATAAATTGATTTGCATTTAAATGAGGGAAATAAGTATTTGACCCCTCTGCAAAACATGACTTAGTACTTGGTGGCAAAACCCTTGTTGGCAATCACAGAGGTCAGACGTTTCTTGTAGTTGGCCACGAGGTTTGCACACATCTCAGGAGGGATTTTGTCCCACTCCTCTTTGCAGATCTTCTCCAAGTCATTAAGGTTTCGAGGCTGACGTTTGGCAACTCGAACCTTCAGCTCCCTCCTCAGATTTTCTATGGGATTAAGGTCTGGAGACTGGCTAGGCCACTCCAGGACCTTAATGTGCTTATTCTTGAGCAACTCCTTTGTTGCCTTGGCCGTGTGTTTTGGGTCATTGTCATGCTGGAATACCCATCCACGACCCATTTTCAATGCCTTGGCTCAGGGATGGAGGTTCTCACCCAAGATTTGATGGTACATGGCCCCGTCCATCATCCCTTTGATGCGGTGAAGTTGTCCTGTCCCCTTAGCAGAAAAACACCCCCAAAGCATAATGTTTTCAACTTCATGTTTGACGGTGGGGATGGTGTTCTTGGGGTCATAGGCAGCATTCCTCCTCCTCAAAACACGGCGAGTTGAGCTGAATCCAAAGAACTCCATTTTGTATTCATATTCTTGGGTTTTTTCGGTAAAGTCGCGTAGCTAAAAATTTTAAAAAAAAATTAATAAAAGTAAAATAAAATAAAGCAAGCGTGCTGTGACGGTTCCACCTGAAGACGGAAGCTTGTGTTGTAAAATATTTTACAATTTTGTCATATTGCTATCGCCATCGTAAGATCGAAATATCGTAAGTCGGACCATCGTAAGTCGGGGACTTCCTGTATGTGTATACAAACACTAACGAATATTAGAATGTGTACACAAATGATAACGAATATTAGTATGTATACACTAATACTGACGAATATTAGTATGTGTACACTAATACTAACGAATACTAGTCCTGTATGCATTTGTCATACGCGTCATAATCACAGTGTTACATATCAACGTATCACGTACTGCGGTATGACCACAACAACACAACAGACAACACAACACCAGCGTGTGTGTGTGTACACGCCACGTGCACTGCTAGTGCCGCTACTGCGCACACGTAGGCGTGACTGCTGTGCGGGTGTCGTCGCTGTTCTCACCACAGATGGACGCTCACCGACTCTGGACACAAACTCAGCCCACGACCTCCTCCAGATTTCCTCGGATCTCAGGACGGTGACGCGGAGCGGTGTCCGCCAGGATCGCCCCCATCACCCACACCGCTTTGAGTGGAGGCCACAAGCCCTCTGTTCTGAGAGCTTCTCATCGGGTCAGCATTACTGGGAGGTGGACGTGGGGAGTGCGAGGTGGTATAGGGTGGGAGTGGCGTACGGGACGATCCCAAGGAGAGGGAGTGGTGATGAGTGCCGCCTAGGAAGGAGTGACGTATCCTGGTGTCTACGGAAACGTGGCGACGGCTTTTCAGTGGTGCATAGTGGGGTAAAGACCTCACTGTCGGTGCCGGAGCCTCCGCGGAGAGTCGGGGTTCATCTTGACTGGGATGCGGGGCTGCTGTCGTTTTACAGCGCCGACTCATTGGCACCGTTGCACTCGTTTCACCAACCCTTCACTCAGCCCCTACATCCTGGGCTGGGAGTGGGGTGGGGTGACTCATTGAGGATTGTGGATTTGAGTGGTGCGTCCTGAGAGAGGTGAACGCGAACAGCGCAGAGGGCAGACACCACGACGCATGGCGCTCGCCACCCACGTCACCGTCACGTGTAGTGCCACGCCCGTGACTGGCTGGTGGCTGTCGGTGGCTCGGGGCTGCATGGCTCTCCATCATAACCTTCATAGGAGGGGGGGGTGATAAAAATACGTACCGCTCTGTGTGTGTGTGAAGCAAATGTGGATGTGTTCATGCTGCCAGAGGAGTGTGACTGTAGTTTAGGGGTGCAGTGAGTAGCAATGGTGAACTGGGATGTGTTTATACACTTGTGGTGTCATGGATTGTGGGAGCGATACAACAACAATAATAACATTAATTTTAAAAAGTATAAATGTATGCGTACGACAATGCCATTGCAACGCTTGGATATTTGATGCTACGATGAAAGTACAGAACACAAACAACAACAATGTAGTTGTGTACAGCGTAATTCGTGCTCACTGCATCCCACATGTCGTGATTTATTTTATTTTAAACCTACGTAACTTTACCGAAAGAACCAAATAGTATGGATTCCTGCAGTCCCGAAAGCTTCAAATCAAGATTGAACCGCCTCTATTTGGAGGGTTTTCACAAATATGTTCGAGCTTTTAACACACTGCGAGACAAGAGGGCTCACCTGATCGAGTCGCTAACCTTTCTCAAGAGACGCCGCGATAACAATGTAATACCGATCGCATTTACACTCACATCTGCTGCTGTCACTTCTCCTAACGCTGAACGGATCTTCTTCAAAGCTAGCCTATCGGTCATCTCAGAGAGAATAAGATTGCTCCGATTTGAACTTGATAGTTTAGACAAGACACTCTAACAATCACACTTAAAATTAACAGATAAAATGTCCGCTTCTGATTAGGACCATGTAGATAACATCACAGTCTCTTCTGCTACTTCAATGTCAACCAAATGTAAAGTTAACTTGATTTCTAAATTCAACCTCCTGTCAAAAAAGAAGCCAGAGCCACACATTAAAAAGTTAGATGTTAACAAGATTGTCATCAATCAGAGTAACATCCCAATTTCCGACAGCATAAAATCGGTACTAGCTACAGGGTTGAATTTTGTGTAACCCCTAAACATATCCCAGTGGATGGTATAAAAGCCCAGGTCGACGTAGCCCTCAAAGGCTTGGGACACATCCCGACAGACGTTGCTAGATCTGAAATCGCTGCTATCCTCAAAAACGCTAAGAAACCCATTAGCAATATCAGCAAGGACGAGCGTTTTTAAATCCTTTATATTAAGTTCACTTGCTTGCGCGCTTACGACCGTGCAAATCTTTCGGTCGTTTTTTAACCCACTTCCCGTGATCCAATCGAGCTGACATTTTTCACACAGACTCGTTGTGCGTGACAATTTATTTTCGTGAATTTTTTTTCTCCAAAATGTTACACTTTTTAGGATTTTTTTTTTATATTTAATTACCAATTACTTAATGGTGGCAGGCAATCATCTGACCCATAGGTGGCAGCCATCTCAAGCCAGAGGACGAGAGGACTCGCATATAAAGGATTTATAGTGAAAAACTTTGTTTTTACGGGTTAATTTTTTAACTCTCTAAATTAAAAACAGAGATGACATTGTCATCCTCTCAGCCGACAAGGGCAATGCCACTGTCATCATGGATAAAACCACTTACAACAACAAAATGCAGGAACTTCTGAATTAATGGCACCATTACCAAAATCAACAGAGATCCAACCAACTGCATAGCTACTAAAATCAACAATAGCATCACTAAATCGACTTCTCTAATCGATTAGACCAAGCAGAGCTCCCTAAAACATTCGACTGCTAGACCACCAAGATTATATGGCCTTCCAAAAATGCACAAAGTAGGTACCCTGCTCCGTCCTATCGTCTCCATGATTAACTGACCCACCTACAAACTGGCCCAATTTCTGTCTGAGACTCTGCTTCCTTTCACTGGCTAGTCCACCTCAGCTGTACTTAACTCAGCTCAATTGATTTCTCTAATCAAGGACATATCACTGTCTCCAGATCATTTGCCTGTCAGTTTCGATGTAGTATCTCTGTTCACCAATGTACCTGTACTTGACACCATTGCAATCATTGAAGACTTGGTCCAACAAGGACTGAATCCAGATGTACCAACTTTTGTAAGGCACTGTCTTACCAACACATACTTAACCTGCAATGGTACATTCTATAGACAAAATGAGGGTACCCCAATGGGTTCTCCCTTATCGCCAGTGGTAGCTAATGTTTTCATGGAGAAATTTGAGAGAGATGCCATCCAGACATCCACCATACGTCCTTCCTTGTGGAAGAGATGCGTAGATGACACGTTCGTCATCTGGCCACATTGCCTACCAGCACTGAATCAAGTTCTCAACCACATCAATTCCATACACTCGTCTATCAAATTCACCATGGAAGTGGAAAAGGATGGAAAGCTACCATTCCTGGATATTTTGATCGAGAAGAGACTGATGGCTCGTTGGGACATTCGGTCTACAGGAAAGCAACCCACACGGATGCCTATCTAAAGCCTGACTCCCACCACCATCCAGCCCAGAAGAATTCCCTCTTCAAAACATTACACCATAGGGGCCCATTGCATCTCCGACCAGCACCACCGAGCCAGTGAGTTGGAGCACGTACACCAAGCCCTCTGGATGAACGGATACTCGGACCGTACAATCCGCAAAGTTGTCTCTCCAGTCATACAGAGACAACCTTCTGAGGATCCAACCAAAACCATGACTTTACCGTACATACCAGGGGTTACCAAAAAGATTTCCAAAAAATTTCACAAACACAAGATCCAGGTTCGTTTTAATACAGTCCACAAAATCCGTAATCCGATCTGTAAAATATGTGATTTCTTACATGCAATACCCTGGTGTCTACAAACTGAGTTGTGGTTGCAGCAGCAGTTACATTGGGGAAACGAAACGACTGGTCTCGGACCGCGTCCGTGAACACAAGGCAGATCAGAAACACAGTAGGAACAATACTTCTGCCAATGCCGATCATTGTTTAAACGCTATGGGCTCACATGAAATAGATTTTTCCAAGACGGATGTACTCTGCAAACCTACCGGCTACCTTCAGGGATTTGTTTTTGAAGCCATCCAGATATATAAACACAGACAGAACTTCAACCGAGAGGATGGGTACAAACTGAGCAATCATTGGAAAGACTATTTTAACCACGTAAAATCTTAACTGACTGTCATGTTTCCATCAAACTTGCCTATGTCAGCTGTTATTGCGACTCTCTGTATCTCTCTCTATGCCTCTCTCTTAGATCTCTCATGCTCACATGTCCGTTGCATTGCACTCTCGTGCCTTTGGATTGCACTCTCAGGCCCACATGTCTTTTGGATTGCACTCTCATACTCACAGGCCCTTTGGATTACACTTGTTGGGTTACACTACATCGTCGAGGAGGCTGCTCTAATTTTTTTCTACAGTTACATGCTAATTTCTTACATTAACATCATGCTTATCTCTCATATTAACATAGCCACTTCCGTGCCCTCTAATTTCTCACATTTACATCATGCTAATCTCTCACATTTACATAGCCACTTCTGTGCCCTCGTCGAGGAGGCCGCTTTCCTTCTTTTCTACAGTCACATGTTAATGTCTCACATTAACATCACTAGCCCCGGTCACTTCTTTATGACCCTTAGGCTACACCCATTTAAAACCTTTTAAAACAGTCTGCCTCAGCAGCAGACTATGCTTTCCCACCTGATGACGGATGATTGTGTTGCGCCCGAAACGTCGTGATTTATTTATTTTATACCTACGTGACTTTACCGAAAGAACCAAATAGTATATACAGGGTCCTTCAATAATTATATATACAGGGTGTTTCAAAAATTATATATACAGGCTGCTTCAATAATTATATATACAGGGTGCTTCAATAATTATATATAAAGGGTGCTTTAATAATTATATATACAGGCTGCTTCAATAATTATATATACAGGGTGCTTCAGAAAATGTGAACACTTCTGAGACTTTGCAAAGATGCCACCAGAAATGTGCCCCCGGGCTCTGGAGACCACCAGGCAATGTGTTGATAATGATCAATTAAAAATACATTTTGTTGTTATTATTTTTATTTTACTCTGATCACTCTGATCACATTTTATTTTCTCATACAAGACCAGCCCACCAGTGCCACGGAATGGGAATCTACTCCCTCCCTCCCTCCAACCCTCCCCACCCTCCCTCTCCTCCCTCCCTCAAACCCCTCCCCACCCTCACCTCCCTCTATCTGGGTTCTCCGTTCTCCTCCCAGAATGTTTAAGCCCCTAATAAAAAAAATTGTCCGACGCCACTTTCATTTGCAGAGGAGGAGCGCAGATCTCGGGGCAATCGTTGGTGGCGCCGGCTCCTCGCTGCCTGGCTGCTGCCTATCCCACTCCATGTCTGTGGATCCTCCCTGCTGGCGCCTCTGAGGTCGTCCTCTCTGCACGAGAGCGAGCGACTTACCGTGCGGTGTGCTACAAGTTGAAATCATGGTTTTTGTTATTGTTCTTGTCAACCTATCCCTGGACTCCCGCACCTCCAAATTAGCACGGATGCGATGTACAGTGCGAAAGAAATTCAACACACGTACGTACGTAGATACGTACACGGACAGATGCCACCCTATGTCATGCGGGTTATGGGAGTTTTTTGACCCAAACTTCGTCACGATGGCAAGCGCGGGTTGTGAAGACGGCACGTGTAGTCAGACGTTGGGAGTCTATCACAGCGCAGGGACGGCCACGGATGTCGCTGCACTGCCCCCTGCTGCCCACGACGTCGTCTCAGCGTCGCGACCGCTGGGAGCGTCACGGAGACGAAGGCGAGGTGCGTCAAGGAGGGTGTCATGAACCTGCTCCACGTGGCGCCAACTGGCCACCTCACTGCCCCTAGCGTGACCCTCGCCTTCAAAAGGCTTTGTCACAAGCCGGGTTCTATCGCACGGTGTTCATCAAGATGGTCGTGAAGCGTGCTCAGTGCTTGCATTATTCTGCCATCGCTTACAGGGTGTCTCCTTCCCCCTTCCCCCCTCCTCGCCCTCCCCCCACCTCTCCCTTCTCCCCCTCCGCCCCCTCCTCCCCCCCTCCTTCATATGTTATGATCTTGATAAGTTTAATATTTGATTATTTTTATTCATGTGCAGGATACAGACAGCCAACCAAAGGGTGAGAATAGGATGGGAAGTATCGTTGTTCACAAGACACTGACACGAGGCTCAGAGCATCATTCCACATCAAAGCATCACGGCGGCTAGGAGATGTTAACTACCTCGCCTGGTGTACAGGAGGTCATGGGTTCGATCCCGGCCCTGACGCCTGCTGTATATTTCGAGTTTCCGTGTCACTCTCTCCCCGTGGTCGCGTGGATTTTTCCGGTTTTACCTCCACATTTATAATTATGAGTATTTGGCTGCTATAAATTTCTACGCGATGAGCCACTTCATTGAGCTGTCATTACGTGTGGCGAGGTCGCTTCTGTGTGTAGAACTTTAAAAGAGCCGCATAGCTCAGTGGCCTTGCCTGGCAAATCGCCCGATGCAGCTACTTGTTGTTGTAGTCACCAGCAACACGTCACGGAACTCAAATTGTCAACGGTGTACTGGGTTCACTGTCCAACACACAACCGGCTAGTGCTGAAGTCGTCACTGATTGGCACGTGTTGTGCGTGGTGACGTCACAACGCACGTCCTCATGCATAGTGACTGTGGCGCGCGTGTCCATAGCAACCAGCCTCTGTATTAATCAGCTGTTTGCATTTTAGGTGGTTAAATACAACTTACATCGATATTCTTGTATCACTCGATGGCAGCACAGTGCTGACTCGGGGAGACAAGGACAAAGACCCCCCGTTAAGCCTTAACAGATGTTAGGTCAAGTGCTGTTAGCGAGTAGCAGCACCTGTGAAGGCCGCAACTGTGGCACACGAGGGGGTGGGTGGCCAGCACCATTCGAGGCCGCCTTTGTCTCCCTCGCGGTGATGTTTACTATGCACCGCACCATGTAGACATTTGAGGTTGAGTCGACCTAGAGGAGACCCAGGACCAGTTGTTCAGAACATTCTTCACCGGCGTTGGCGGCCGTGCGTTGGAATTCAACTCGGTTGGCCCGGGTTCGTAGCGCAGCGCGCCGCTAACCGCTGCGCCACCGCTCCCCACGCCGGGTGGCTGCGCAGCCCTGACCGGCTGAGACGCGGACACCGTGGGGCTCCCATCACAAGGAGACCCCACGTGGAGACGTTTCAACGTCAACCCGCTGACGTTGCTCCTTCACATCGTTGCCGTGGCCCAGGATGCATCTAACACGACGAGTTGCGTTGGGCGAGCGAGCGGCCTGGCTGAGCGGCAGCGATGGATCGCGCGGAGGGATCCGCTGAGCGAGCAGCTGACTGTCACCTACCCAGTGACGAGCACGAGGCCTAGCCCAGCCCTCACCAATTAGAGACCAGCACATGAAGTGGGGTGCTAGGAGGGGGGGGGGGGACGGCGCCCTGGGTTTGGAGGGGGTAGGGGGAGGGGTAGGGGATGGGGGGGTAGGGGTAGTGGGAGGGGTAGTGGGATTGGGAGGGGGAGTGGGAGGGGGACGGGGAGTGGGAGGGGTTGAGGGAGTGGTAGGGGGAGGGGTTGAGGGAGTGGTAGGGGTTGGGATTGGGGGAGGGGGTGCTAAGGAAGGGGACGTGAGGTGGGGGGGGGGTTGTCTGGGTGGGGGGGCTTGGGGGTTGTCACGCGAGAGGAGGAACCCCTAGGGGGTGGGGTGATGGGGATGTTGGGGGTCACGTGGGGTTCATTTGTTTCACTGCCGGCACTGGTCCAAAGTTGCGGACCAAATCAGGAATCGAGACCGATTCCCAGACGCCGTTTGAGTCCCTGCGGGGCCTGGAGCGGTGTTGGAGCACGCCACGCGAGGGCACTGCCACTCCACCGCAGAGATTCGCGGGGCGCGCTGAACAATGAAAGTGCACGGGAGATTTCAAAAGAGGCTGTGGCCAAATCAACCCGAGATCTCTGAAGCTACGCAATGTTGAGTCTGGACTGTGGCACTTGGATTGGTGAGCGGCGTGCACGTCGAAGTGCGGTGTGCAGATTACGCGTTGTGCCTCTTTCCTATGCGCTTGCAGGTTCTGCCCTTTGTTGATCAGGGCGAGTTCTGTGACGTTCCCTCCACTTGCTGGGAGCATCGTCAAGATTTGAAGCTTCTTCAGTTCTAAGAATAAAGTTGAGGAGCATTGACAGCTTTCATTCTTCGTTACAGTGGAGCTGAGATTCCAATCATAATTGTAAAGTTATTTAATGAGCTTCAGGATATTCCTCGAGCCATGGGTAAGGTTTTACATAATTCTAGATTTTAAGCTTTCGTGACTGCAAGGATTCATACTCTTGGGTGTTTTCAGTAAAGTCACGTAGGTAAAATAATAATAAAAATAAAATAATAAATGAAAATAAATCTATGAAATCACGACGTTTCAGAGGCAACACAAGCTTCCTTCATCAGGTGTAAAAAAGGGCACAGCAAAATAACTGTAGCGAGAGTTATTTGTGGTGAGACATTATTACATAGGGTAAGAAGAGGGGGATGAGCCAAGGAGAACGGGTGCTGGATGGGGGGGGGGAGCCAGGAAGGTAAAGGTGGTACTAAAGGGCGGCATCACGGAGGTGGAGGGAGTACGAGGTGCAGGATGGGGGAGGGGGGTTGGGGTGTGGGTGGAGCCAGGAAGGTGAAGGTGGTGCTAATAGACGGCGTCACGGATAGTGGAGGGGGGACGCAGAGCGGGGGAGAGTGGCGGTTGAGATTTAATATGGTTAATCACATCTTCCAATGATTGCTCAATTTGAATCCATCTTCTCGATTGAAGTTATGTCTGTGTTTGAATATCTGTATGGTGGTATCCAGACGGCTTGCAGAGTACCTTGGTATCAGGGAAAACAATATCATGATCACCCACAGCGTTGTAACAATGATCAGCAACGGCTGAAGAATTCGTTCTGCCGTGTTTCAAATCTCATTTGTGCTCGCAAATTCGGTCCGAAATATGTCGTTTCGTCTCCCCGGTATAGCAGTCACCGCAGGTACAACTCAATTTGTAAAAACCGGGGTACTGTAAGTCCAGAATGGCATCCTTTATGGATGGGATCAGATCACAGATTTTATGTACTGTACTGAATCGGACTAGGATCTTATGTTTGTTTAGAATTTTGGAGATCTTTATGGTCACGCCTGCTATGTATGGCAATGTGGTAGTTTTGATCTGAGTTTCAGGTGGTTGGTTCTGTATGGTGGGAGAAAGAGCTTGGCGGATAGTGCGGTCAGAGTATCCGTTCATTTGTAGTGGGTTTGAATTAGGTGCACACACACGCAGCTTGGAGGCAACACTATTTATTAAACGGTAAGTAATATAACACTGTACATGAGGTGGTGACCACCTTCCTCAACTCACTAACACTCTGGAACACGACACAGACTGGACCAGGCAGGCAACGGCCTGCCTGGCCCAGGACGACGACCCGGGACTTGAGAACCGATGATGTCGTCTTCACTTCGGAGTACAACAGCCTCGCTCTGCGTTCACACCACGCTTATATCTGCTCTGGCGTGGCCCGCTCCGCCCAGGCCACACCTCCCTTCCCAGGCCACGCCTCCCTTCCCCCACCTCACGGGAGGTCTGGGTCCCTCCACCACGTGACCCCCCAGGCACCCTCTTGGGGCCCCCAGCCCTCGTACGGGCCGACACAGTAGTGACGTCTTATGTCACTACACATTTGTCCAAGTAACGAGACATTGACTGGACAAGAAGGGACTTGCATTTGCCCTTTTCAATCGATCGTCAGTCTGCGTGCCAACATCGCCCTCACTAAAGTGGGCATCGGTGCACATCACAGCAGCATGCGAACGGTACCGGGGTCACAGAGCAACAGGAATGGAACAAAAGAAACCCGTCACCACCTCAGCGGCGACTACTGGCTGAGCAAAGTAAATTTGTAACAAATAGCATAAGAACATTAATTAGCAAATAAAGTGAATAATAAGTAAAGAAG